GTGGAATAATGTAAAAGTGAGATAAAAATATTTGATGATATCGATTATACGTTATATTGTAATAGAATAAATTTGTTTTTGTTTTATATTAATATATTACGACATTTACCGTTTATTCATAAATCGTATAATAATTAGAATCTTTCGTTTAGAAGGAAAAAATAATAAAATGTAAAAGTTTATGGGAGAAAAAAGAAAAGAAAATAATTCACCGACTTAAAATTTAAATGAATCTATGAGAGAGAGAGAGAAAAAAACAAGAAATTTTTAAGAAGAAAGCAATTTTCATTTTTATGGTTTCGTTTCTCTCGAATAGTATACAAAAAGTAGGCAACACATTTCTTCTTTTTCACCCAGTTTCTGTTGAAGTAAGGCTACTTGAAACCAGAGACTAAGGTTCCCAAGCTTATAGATCATTTCAACTTTTCTCGTTCGACTTGAAAACGAACTCAAAAACAGAAGTCTACTTTGTGTCTCTCTCGATTATATAAGGAATAAGATTAAGTCTAACCAACGATGGTAAAAAGAAAAACTCGAATTTTTTTCGCGTTTAATAAAGTAAAAATTCATTAACTCGCATAAAATTAATTTCAGATATTTTTTTTTAAGATCATAAGACGTTCCCTTTGTTGAGTTCATCACAAAAAACAAATAACAACGTATTTTTACAATTAACGTATGTATTATTAAATAATAACAATATCACACTGGAATAATATAATATAAATGAGACTTATACAAAAATAATTATCATCTAGACAAATTTATTTTGTGTCAATTATGTATTAAATAACTACTACGTTTATATCGAAACAAAATTGTGTATCATTCGTTTGTATAATTAAGAATAGCTTGTTTAATACAAATAAATAACGATTAATTTTCGATAATAATCATCATTTATTATCGTAGTATATATATAAGCTTGTAATTATTATAATCTTATAAAATTTAATATTCTTATTTCGCGTAATATTACCTAATATTATTACATTAACTGGTATCTTCAAATTGAAGAGATATTTAACAAAATTAACTTCAAATTAACGTGATGCAAAATTATACGAGATGTTTACCTTGTAACTACAAATGTCTTGTAAGTTTGGAGTAGATCTCCGTGTTTCCGAAGACTCGACTTAAACTTAATTAAACAACCATAAAGAGAGAGAGAGAGCGCCATGTAGGCGACTACAACAAAGTGAACGAAGCTATTATGTTAAACGGGTCGCATATTTCCAGGCTCTCTTTTACTTTCAACGTTCAAAAATGTATTTTTTTTTGTTTTTATTTTTAGACCATCGCCGAGTTCTTTCATTTACTTTTTATACGCAGCATCGATTTTCCCTTTTACAGTCCTAGCAATTTTAACTTTTCAACCTAAATGCATCGATATTGGAGTTCAATAATGTATTTCCGAGAAATCGAAAAAAAAACCTATAAATTCTCGGACTTTTCGTGAGGGTTTTTTTTCTTCTGTTTTTGTTTCGAAAACAAAAAAAACCTTCGTAGAATCTATTGACCATGACCACTCTTTCACTTCATTCGGAAATGGGATTTTTGTTCGATCTCACTTTTACGTTTCTACATCGAAATAAAATGCATAGACGCAGATCGTAGCTTTTTTTTTTTGTCTTTATAATTGTACCGTTAGGAAGATTGAAAGATTCGAAATTGTACACAGTTTAAATTGTTAACGTTATAACAAAAAAAAAAAGATAAAAAAATATATATTTGTATAAAGACCGTTTCAAAAGTTGTCTTGACCAAATTGACAAATTGAATATTTCTTGTTTTTTTCTTTCGTTCACAACATTATATGTCAATACTTTTTTAACAACACTATATAAATGAAGATTCGCGTGTATAAGGAAAAGTAAATATTTTTTTCCGAGTTATCGAAATATGGACGACAGGTTCTCAGTCGATAAAGAAGATCACGATCTTTGATTACGAAAGAGAAGGTTCAAGGTTGACCGAACGTCAAGTGAAAGCCACAAGTATTCAGAATCTCGTACGTGTAAGACGTATTATGCGCAATATGCTTAGTATTAGATATTTCTTCGATCGTTAATACAGTTTAATTTCAATCGAAAACGTTATTTAACAAAAAGATCGTTTCTTATCGGGGTAATGTAAATTCTGTTAAATTCGAAAAAGTGAGTATAGTGAAATAGATTGAGACGAGTTTTTGACATCACATTTTATCAATTGATTTCAAGGTACTTTCCTTCTCAACAAATTTCATTTAATACGATTCGGGTTTGAACCATTTTTGAGCTAGTCACAACACCGGATTACGTGTATTAATAAAAATATAAGATATCAAGATTGGTAAATATGTAAAAATGATATTTTTTTTCAGTTTATTTTTTGAAATAATAACAATAAATTTATTTTTGGAATAAATGTTGAAACTAAAAAATGTATTATGTAACAGACAAATATAGTAGATACCTGTACAACGTGTTCAAAGATATTGCGACTAGTTGTTTTCATATAACACAATTTCTCATACGACGTTGTTTATAATAAAATGTAGGATATTTAACGCATTTAAAATATTCATCAAGCATTAAATTGACTTCATCATCATTGCCGAGTTTTTTGTTTTGGTAATTTTCATTTATCAGTACGTTGTGAAAAATAATTTATGAAAAAGAAATATTTTCTCAATATTAATATTTCATATATATATATATATTTTCTTACAAAACTAAAAATGTAAATTATCTCGAGAAAAATAATATAGTATTATACGAGGAAAAATATTTGAAAGAACGTTTTCCTATTAATGGCGTAACAGGAGAGTTTACTGCAACTTTATCGATTTCAATCGCGATACACATAATGGATATTTTTCCTCTACGTTATTTATCATTGACAAAAAATATCATTTTTCTAAACGAAGTTTAAGATATATATGCAGAAAATGGTAAACACGCGTTACAAAACGTTTTAATTTTAATTTCTCCCACACATCGTTTGAACAATGTGTGCGCGTGTCGAAATTGTAAAGCGAAATGTCAAGGACCAAAGATATCTTCGTATTTTTATATGTCTTTCGGTGCTATCTTTCATTTGTCTTTCTTAATTTGGTTTACTGTTGATTTTATTGAAATTTGTTTCTTAAATATGTTTTTTATCTTTAGTTATTGTTACGTGTTACATAATAAAATGTTAATGAGTATTTGTAAATAGGACATAGTTTTTCTCTCATAATCATCAGAGTTTTCCTCGCTACTGTACTATTAGCTTATGTAGTGTTCCATTTTGATATTGAAAAGTAACTTTATGTAATGGATTCAAGGCTGAAACGGGAGTTTATGATTCATCGTGTATCGAATACGCTCTGTAATTGTTTTGTTTCCAACGATTAAAACGATGCTTTACAATGTAATTAGGTCCGTACACGATATCGTACCTAAAGATTTTCTTTATAGTTACCATTAGTGAAAGAAATCAAACGGGAAAACACGTATTTTATTTTTTGTGTGATTCGTTTATTTTGTAATATTTCATATTTATTTGAAACGAAATCTGCGTACACTACCAGACAAAAGTTTCATTAATCATTTGTTGATTTCTCTTGTATAGTTTATATGCTCACGATCAATTTAAAACAATGCTTGTAATGAATTTTTTTACTTGCATATATTTGACCATTTTATATAAGAAGCATAGACAAACATTCAATAAGAAACTAATTGCTAGAATATCCAGAATATGTCTGATTGTTATTAAAAAAAGAAAAAGAGGTTATTCTTTTAACGAAAGGACGATTTGAAGAAAAATACTCATTCCTAGATAAAAAAAAAAAAAGTAATACAAAATGTAAAACATACTATCGTTAACAAATAAATTTACCACGGTTATTCTAAAGCTATTAACTTTTTGTTTTTTAATAAGTATCCTGTTTCTTTGAATTTGTTAATAGAGTGATATTAAATTTTTGATCGACAATGTACGCCTTCTCTTCCCAATGTATGTATTTCAACGAACGTAAATGATTTTCAATCAGCAGACGTTAATCGACTTATCCTGCCAATATTTAAGTTTTCTTTTAATAAAAATCACCCGAATATCCTGATACGAAAATTAAATTTTCAAATATTTATAAAATAAATAGAAATATATATATATATAAATACATATATATAAAAAAGAAAAAAAAATTAATAAATATGAAAGAAATTTTGATGATTCTTGACGAATTATCAGCGATTTATTGAAATAATAAAATGACATAAAACATTTACGATTAAAAGTAACATAATAAAATAACATAAACATATTTTAATCTATTCGTAATGTAAAGAAAAAGGAAAAGAAAAAAAAACGAAGAAATCTAAACCTCCCAATAAGAGAAAAAGAATTTTTTTTTTCCTCTAACCATTACCCCACCCCACCCCTTCGATAGAAACAAATTTCTCACTAAGATTTCGTATTTTATTGGTCGCGTTAGAAAATAAAATCCATTCGCGTTTTCCCTAGGATTAATCCTTCGAATAATCGAAGTTTCCTTATCGAGAATTTAAGGCGATAGATCTGACGACGAACATTGTAAGAAGAAAAAAGAAGTAGAAGAAAGAGTAGGTGGTGGGTGGGTGGGGGGATGGTAAGAAAGAAGAAGAAGAATAAGAGCAACCGCTGAGTGCAGTAGACTGCGCATTCGCGAATAGTGGAAGGGCGGAGGACAATAAAGAGAAAGAGAGAGAAATACATATATATATATATATATATATATATATATATATATACACGAACACATACAAACATTTATATATATCAAAGATATACAGGCAAAGAGAGAAATGTATATATATAAAGTAGAGAGAGAGAGAGAAAGAGAGATAAATATATACGTATATGGAAAGTAGGAAAAGAGAGAGAGAGAGAGAGAGAGAGAGAGAGAGAGTGATAGTAGAGTAGGATCGTTGATGGTGTTAGAGTGCGCATGCGCATAAAATTTCCCGGGAATCGGGTCTTTCCGGGTCTCCGACACGGATTTCCCACTTTCGTTCGTCACTTGAGCGTCCGAGTCTACGACGTGCGAGACAAGGCAACAGGTGACGAATATTCGCGCCGAAAAGAGAATTTATTATCAAAAGAAAAATAAAGAACGAGAGAAAGAGAGAGAGAGAGAGAGAGAGAGAGAGAGAGAGAGAGAAAGGAAAAAAGAGAGAACGTATTACTCGTCTCGATAATCGATTTTTCGTATTGAGAAGAATTTTCAAGGATAGTTGTTTCATTTCCCACCCGTCGGGATTTGACACATACGTTCTTTTCGTTTTCACTTTTTTCCCGATATTATTCTCTTTTGATTTCTTTTATCCTCCTAAGGTACCTGAGAAAAAATAACGAAATATAATAGGAAAGAGTTTTGTTTCGTTTTAATCATCAAATCTATCGATCTATTGCGAAATGAGTGTCGACGACGTGATCAACTACAAACCCGACGCGGACGAGGATCTTTACGCACTTTTATCCTGCGACGAATTTTCTACGGTAAGAAAATTTTTTATGATTAATTTTTTGTCTCCCCCCCCCCCCGTTTCGTCTAATTGTCAATGATTGTTTTTATGAGAGATAAAGTTGTCGTTTTCTTTGGAGACATTTTAAATCTGATAAATATTTGATATTTTATCTGATTTACGATTAATATTAATGAATTTTTCTATTACTATTATTATTATTATTATTATTATGTAATTTATAATTTAGTTGTTTAATCGTTTTTCATGATAATTTAAAAGCACGATAATTGAAATCGATAAGTTTATTCTTATTGATATTTTACATTTTAATTATATCAAAATATGAAAACATTTATAAACGTATTTGATTGAAAGTTAAGAAAATTCCTTGATGATTGTGTTAATGAAATTATACGCGATAATGTGTAATTGAAATATTTTAACCGCGTATCTCTCTTTATTGATATTATTAACAAACGTTAAAGATTATATGTTTATATGTGTATACGATAGAAAAGGTTTTAAATATACGACTTAAAGCTGACGATTAAAGTTCTGACAATTCATCTACCGACCTTAACATGCTTTTAAGTTTACTACTTTCCACGCGACTTTTTTTTTATTTGAAGTACCCTTTAAATACAGCTTTTAACGTAAAACGTGTACACGATCGAGTCTCTTTCTATTTTAAAGAGCGACGAAGTCTTCTACTCATATTGATATTTCACTATCCCTGTCACTTGGAATTTTTTTTTTTTATCGTTATTGACGGTTACTTTATTCTTTTTTCTCTTTCTTTTTGATATCAAAAGTAACATATATTTTATTATTAGATAATAATCTTCAATGAAACTGAACAACAATCGATTTTTCCTTTAATAAAATCGATAATAATATTGCATTTGAAATTTCCATTAATTTAGGTCTGTTAAAAAAATTTTATTTTATTATTAATTTATAATGTAGCAATAATACTTGTTATATAAATATGATTACATACACTTTACGATTTTTAATAATCATTATCATTAGCGTATATCTTACGTAAAGTAATTAAAATCTAAATTGATTAAATTATTGAAATATTATTTTACGCATGCAATGTATACCATTCGCATATTTGTTTTAATTATTTTGGTATTATTTGGAAAACATTAAATACGTATTATTGTGTAGTAAATATTTGATTTAAAAATGATCTCGTTTAACTGTAAATAGGTCAAGAAATAATTATTGGGTGACTAATTTTATAAGAAACCAATGTTCGTTCTTTGCTCTTTTTTCGTACTTATGAATTTTAAACGTTCGTGAAAATAAAGGATCGCTTATTTTATACACGCTATTTGTAACATTATTATCAAAGAGAAGAGTACCCATCCTTTTTCTCTTACGAATAACGTACTCTTTCGTGAAATGTGACGGAGTCCATTGAAATCGTAAAAAGTTTTGAACAAAAGGGCGCCATTAACTTCAACAAAGTATTGCATGAACGCTATCAAACGGAATCCATCCAATTGGAAAACAAAAAGGGATAAAGTAAGAATACCTTTTCGAAAAATTGCATCCTAATTGATAACTCACGTCAATATTTCAATTTGCTTTCTTCAAATTGTCATTGAAAGTTTGTTGAAAGTAACGTTTTTCATGGAAAGGTTTGAATCGTTCTATAAAATTTCTTATTTTCTTATTCAATTCATTAGCGATATAGTAATAGTAATTTAAAACTGATAGTATTTTCGTCTATTGAAATGGTGTTATTTGTAAATACGTACATATTATATACTAGTAGAAAGTATTTAATCGATTTCTAATTTTTGTTTTTCTTTTTACATAAATTCGATTTTCGTTAAACATCGTTTGTAATTGATCAATTGTAAATCTGATAGAAGATCAAAAAGTTATAACTCTAATTAATTTTCTTAAAAACAAGTTTTATCGATTAAATTGCTATTTAAAACGATCCGAAAATCGTGTACAATTCGAATAATCATAATATGAATCGTAGTAAGATAATTGTAATTACAGGTGAAATCTTAAAATGTTTCTTAATTATTATATCTTATTGATAACATAACTTACTGAGTGAGATAAAATGATCAATGAAATTGATTTATTAATTTGTTCATTTATAGAAGCATGAAATATGTTGCAAATCATTATTTCTTTTTATAGATAGTAGTGGAATCTCTTTTAGATAAGATTTAAGAATATTTATTAGTTCATAGTTCGATGGATTGACGTAATCGTACTATCTTTAATAAATGTTACTAACCTTAGTTGATTAATTATGTTTTCTGAAGGCTCTATCGTCTTTTAATTTCTTTATATATATATCTATATTCTACACACAGAAAGTATTTAAATGTTTTCTAATCAAATAACGCGTTTGTATAAGTTTTAACATATAACATTTTTGTAAAAATATATTTTTTTTACTTACGTTAGATATTAAAAAAAAAATAAATAATAAAAATAAAGCTTCGCGATATATTTTATTTTGTTTGCCATAGGTTGAGCAAATTATAGCAGAATACAAGGTACTGGCCTTGCAATATCATCCCGACAAAAATGCTGGTGACAAAGAAGCCGAGGCAAAGTTTCAAAAGCTTAAGGTTAGTATTTTATATTTGAAGGGTAAGTGATGACGATGTTAGAAAATTCTTATCGGTTCGATTTTTCTATATTTGACCTTATTTTAGAATGCCAAAGAGATTCTCTGCGATCCGGAAAAGAGGAGCAACTATGACAAGTGGCGGCACAGTAATATTTCTATTAGCTACAAGCAATGGCTCGGAATGAAGGAACACGTTCATCAAGTAAGTCAAAAAGAATATATATATATATATACAGAATATTTGTATTATTACAAATTTAACACCTTGACGAAATAATCAAAGTAAATTTATTTGGAATAATTATTCTCGTAAAACAAAAAACAAAATAAAAAATCAAATGTCTTGAAAATTTTGCAATTCGCATTATTTATGCAAAAATTAACTGTCGATGATCAACGTGTTAAAAAGATTTATAGAAAGATTTGATTAATTAAATCTTATATTACAAGATTTTTCGCGCGTTCGAAATATTTGTACAATTTTTTAATGCCAACTATTATTTAAAAAAAAAAAGATAATAGAAAGAGGTAATCAACGAGCAAGATTCTATTTTTATTCAGTATTATATTATTATTACGTTTTTTTTCTTCTATTGTTTTTTTTTCTTGGAAAAATAAAAAGAAAATGTTATGTTCGTGCGGAGAAAAATTCGTGTAAATTGTTGAACGCGTGAAAATGTTCCGAGTTGTGTAAACATTTGGAGAAATATAGGTATATATTTTCTTATGTTTGAGACTTTATCAACGTAGTATATAGCATGTTTCGAAGTAAACGTATGTTCAAACGGGTCTCCGCAAACAAAAGCTTTATAAACTTGCGTTTTATTCAAACTTTGACGCCCGTGTATACAGACACGTATCTGCGAGTTTCGTTTCGAGGATAAATCTCGAGCTTCTATATCCTTTGACACGATTTACATTCTCTTTATATGTGGAACGCGAACATTGTATTTTTAAAAATAATACATAATGATAGATGTACGTATTGAAAGCAAATATACTTTCGAAAATGTAACAAAGATGTAAAAATATCTAGAAGTGTTTTCAGTAATCTTTAAAACATAATAGAAGTCTTGTAGAATTGAACAGTTGGATAAATGCATTTGATAAATGATCGTACATCGCTACCATTTTGTAAGATAAAATTTATTTTAACGTAATTTCTCTCCTACGTTTAATTTTTCAAATCATAAAATAATTAAACATTCATAATTTACGAATATCGACAAATATTAAATATAATCAATCTCTTAACTGTGAATTATATACGCGTATACTCGTTATAATAGAAAAGCAATATCAATTTTTAATAAAAATTGACAAAAAGAAAACAATATTTGTAAGTTATTAAACATTTGTAAATATTTTGTGAGAATTTTTTCTTGAGAAATAAAAATGTAGCGAAAAAGTAATTTATACGATTCACTTGAAACAAATTGTAAACAATGCTTAAGTATCACTTGTTTTCTTTCCATGATATCATTAATTTATCAATTGATAATAATTATCAACAAAATTTAATTAAAATTCAATTCAATGTGTTACAGTAGTTGTAAATAATTTGGATAGACGAATATACGCGTTGTTTTAGTGACACAGTTAAGAAATTAATAGAGATAGTTGATAAATAATTCAAGTTCATGTGAAAAGGTTATCAAAAAAAAAAAAAAAAAAAAAAATTGAAAAGAACGTGAGAAAGAAAAAAAAACAAAAACTAAATAAATTCGCAGTCGATGCACTGGAGTACGCTAAAAACGAAGGACCGGATGTTACCGGACGGAAGTGGTAGTGGTGGAGGAGATGCAGAGGGTTCACCAGGTAATATGAAAGTGCAAGCTCCGAATACTCACAGAAGGGCCAGCGAAGGTGGGGCCAACATTTACTATGGTGCACAACGTGATGTCGATTGGGACTCACAGGCCTCGAGCGAGGTCGTCAATAAATTTCGTAACTACGAAATATAAAATTTTGAGATTAATAGGAGAACGACGATCGTTGAGGGAGGATATTTCCTTTTTCGTATCGTGCAGGACCAAGCTCGATCGTTACTAATTATGTCTCTAATTATCTCTCTTGCTATCTGTTTGACGATGAAGTTTATCCCTTACAACAACAACAGCAACAACAACAACAACAAAAACACATGTATACGCATATAGGGTGTCCTATTTGAATCGATTCGCGTTACAATCATTGTATGTAATAATCTTTAATGGTGTTGTTAACATGATGTCGGGTTATTTGTGATTAATATTTTCTCTCTAATAATAATTCATTGATTTTACTAAAATCGAATTGACTTCGATCCTAGTGTTATTTCGTTGGACAGAATCGATTGAAATGGGACACCCGTGATATACGTGAAGGAGTGCGTCAATACATATACACGATATACACGTAAACGTATACATACCTTTTTGTGCATTTATCGTTCGTCACTGTCCAACCAACAGCAGAACAGGAAAATGATACAGAAAATGATCCTAAAGGGAAGTTTTATTTTTTCTTTTTTCTTCTTTCTTTTTTCATTCGATATCGTAAAGTCTTATGATTTTTATTTATTTAATTTTGAAAATTAACGAGGATATATATAGATGTATAATTTAGCCTAGGAATTTGAATAGAACATTTTCTTGTTTGCTTTAACAATAATTATTCCTTTGGAAAAGAAAAATGTACTCTTTGAGATAAAAAGGATATTAATATTTGAAGGAGATATATATTTCGTTCTCTTTCCGTGGTTCATGTTACGAGTTTTAGAAGAAAGTTAAGCATATAACAAAATTCTAAGTGTTTTATTATTAATTTTCTTTGCCTGGGCTATTTGACGTAGGACGAGCGAAAAAATAAGTATTCTCGAAACGATAAATTGAGGAAAACTAGAGAAAACGAAATATAAAAGATCAAAAATCTAGAATCTTATCTAACATTTAATCTCGCGACTAAATAAATGAATTTCATTCGAGAGAGAGAGAGAGAGAGAGAGAGAGAGAGTGAGAGAGAGAGAGAAATGAAAAGAAGAAAAAACATAACTCGTAAAATGATTGGTAGAAGAAATAAAATTGAGTTTCAGAGATGAAAGTAACGCGAATGATAGGAGTCGACCGGTTGGACAGTGCTTTTGATGTTCGTGTCGAGAAGATATAAAAGAAATAATAATAATAATAATAATAATAATAATAATAATAATAATAATAATAATAATAACAAAAGGAAAAAAAAGAGAATTAAAATTGAAAAAAAAAACAAAAAACGAAAAAAAAAGAAAAGAAAGAACATAAAAAAGAAAAAACATTTTAAAAAAGAAACGTTAAGAAAAAAATACAAAGAGATGAATAAATGAATAAATTAAATCCAGGGAAATCTCGGAGATAAGATTAAATTTGTTGTTTCTACGGTAAGGCTTTAACTTCCCAATGGAATACTTAAAGAGTTTTGTCTTCCAAATATAGGAGGAAGAAAAAAATAAACAATATTTAATAAAAGGATAGAAAGAAATAGACGTGGAAAAGAGAATACGGAGTCTCGATGTTCGATAAGCGTTTGTTCAATCGTGTACACGAATTGAAATAAACAAAAAAAAAAAATACACGGTAAGAATAAATGCACGTACAATTATCATCGTTCATATTAGAAAATTAATGATATTTGTAATGAACGAGACGAATTGAATTCGAGAAGCGTATCTCTTAGTTAGTGGCGGATCAAGTCGAGTGGGGTAGAGGGGTTTATTAGGGGCCCACAAAATCAAGTTAGAAGAAAAATGTTTCGATGGAATATTTCCCCATTACGAGTTATTAACAACATTAAGAAAAGTCATTTAATATTTCGTAAAAATAAGCATACGGTAATTACATTTATTTAAAAAAAAAAAACAAAAAGAAAGTAATTTTCGTCGAATCGTAATGGAAAAAAAAAGAAACGATATTTAAAGACTTTTGGGGCCCTACGTAACCGCTTATTCCGTTTACCACCGCTTAATCCGCCACTGATATTTCTAATTTTTTTTTCTTGATTACATACCGAGGAAGGCGACATTTTTTAAGTATATATCTTTCCATTGTGAAATAAAGCAAAGAAGCGCACTTGTACCTGTATGTAATGTCAAATGCAAACAAAGTACTACATCGTTCCTCCTCGACGCTTTCCATATCAAAAAAGTGTATTATCCGGTGCTTAAATCACACACCATTTTTTCTACATTCGAATTTATCCATCGTCGTTTGATTTCATTCACGAAAAATGACATTATTAACTTCATCGACTCTCGTATTTTACATTGGTATATTTATTTTATTTCATTCTACGTTACAAACATATACACGTAAACAAGTTTTAAATCCTTGTCATTAGATGATGAGATTTTGGAATTGTCTTGAGGAAAATTTTCTAATTTCTTTTAATATATATATATAAATATATTTTTTGTATACATATATTATAGTATAATACACACACACACATACAAAATTCAAAATTCTTAACAACACGATTGTAATGATTAAACACAATTTACACCATTTTTCTCTCTCTCTCTCTTTCTCTCTCTCTCTCTCTTTCTCTCTCTCTCTCTCTTTCTCTCTCTCTCTCTCTCTTTTTTCTTTTTCAATCTATGGACGTTCATTTGCGTGTTATGTTTGTTATAATAAAAACTAAAAGATGCCTATCTATAGCTGGTTTAAATAACGATTAAATGGTCTAGTGGTCAATTAACATGCATACATATATATGTATCGGTGTATATCCTTTAGCCATTATTCTAAAAACTTCTCTTTACGATCACTATCTCACTCATATAAATTTTATTTGTTTTTTTTTTTTAACTCTTACTGTTTATTTATTTTACATATTTCATTTTTTGTTCGAAATTAGCTCTCCCATATGCAACCTGAATATGTCATTAATTATTAATGTATGATGTCATAAAAACAAATGAGTTATTCGATGAGTTATCCGAATACATAGTACGATAACGATAATAGTTATATTAATAATAATAATAATAAAATAATAATAATAGCGATAACCAATATCGTCATTATCATCATCCTCATAATGATCACAAAGTTGCGGAATGAATTATTATCGTTTCAATAAAATATTTCATTTATCAACGATTCTTATTTTCGATCAATCTGTTATTCAATGAAAAAGTTTATTAAATATGAATTTTCATTTGCGTCGTTTCTATTAAAAAAAAAAAAAAAAAAACAAAAAAAAAACAAAATACAAGGACAACAGCCAAAATTTCAAATAAGAAAGGAATTTTAAGAACTACGTAAATAGAAATAGTATTCTTTCTTGTTGACGCATAAATTAAAAAAAAAAAAATAAAGCAAATCGATCGCATCGAAATTGTTTACCGGATCTGAGTTAAATAAAAAGAAGAAGAAGAAGAAGAAAAAAAAAGAAAAAAAAATAGAAAAAATTAAAAAAAAAAAAAAAAACATTACACATACAGAAAAATACGAGATCGTAGATTACAATAATTCAAAATCGAGTATGTAGTACGGAAAAAGGTGAAAGTTTCATCGGCATTTTATCAAATAAGAATGGCCACACACGCACACTTTCGCGTGAGTAACTTTTAAATGAGAAATTCTTGGACCATCCTATACGTGTAAACGTATATATATCTGTATACCTGTATATTTTTCTATCACAGATTCGTCTGTGACTTTGTCTTTCATGCTCCATGGAGTATCATTAATATCGTCAATTATTTAATATTTTCTGTATGATTAATTTGTCGTAAAAACTCGTGTTTTCGGAAAAAATACTTCGATGGGTTTCTATTTTAAAATAAAAACAAAAATGAGTACTTAGATATATCTCTTCTCATAAAAATGAATAAATTTAATAGAAAATATGTAACTGAAATTCTTTTAATTTTTTTTCATTGTGAAGAATTGTTAAATTATGATAAAATATAAATCCCGACATAACTGAATGTTTAACAATGTTATGTAAATTATGAGAAATATATATATATATATATGCATAAGTCCTTAATGAACTTTCCGAAACACGAGATTCCGTTGTGTAAATTATTATAAATTCGTCACGCGCTGGTCGACGTGACGATGTGTATCCGCACCATTAAAGATTCAATAAATGTGTTTAATTATGAACATTCTATCTTTCTTTTGTATTATATAAAATTTCTCTTTCTCTTTCTTTATATATATGTATATACAATCTTAAAACCTGAACGTTTAGAAATTTTTTATTCACAAAAAATATTGTCCATGTTTAATTATCGATCGATATTCAATATCGATGAATAACAAATTGAGATTAAAAAAAAAAAATGACAAAATTGTAACATATGTATGTTTTAAACGAATACATTTTACTTTTTATTGTTTTTTCTTTTTATGCATAATTGGAAGCTTTACTGAAAGTTATTTTTTGTTATTCAAATAACTTTTTTTGAATATAAATAAAATAATATAACTTATAAATTTTATGATATTTCACTGTTACGAAGGAAAAAATGTATTTGTTATTTATTGTTTGAAAAAAAGGTATTTCAGTATTTTGAAAAAAATAAAAAAAAAAAAAAAAGGTATCATGTTAAAGATTAAAACATTTTCACAGCAGACGTTTCTTTCCATCCTAACTTGAGAAGATGGCAATGCAATATGGGTAAGCCAGATAATATTTAAGAGTAAAAAATATGACTTAAAAAGTAGTAACGCAGGGTGTATCGATTTTAAGATACGAGGATAAATTTAGCACAATTTTTTAAACGTCGTTAAGAAATTCTATTTAGAGGGTCTAACTTTTTTCATTACTTTAGTTAGAATATTCTCACTATTCTTTAATACCATGTAGTAATATTTAATGGATACTTCAAAAATAAAAATGGGGAACGATTACGTTGCTTATGATAAAGATGAAGATAATCTTGATTATCTTTTTTTATAGTGATCAAGTGTTGAGTCAGAAGTCAGATTAAGTTGATGATTAACTTTTTTCCATAATAAATTTTTTGAGTCATGGAACGTAATTATTACGTAAGTTTATTAGTAAACTTATGTTTGTTTTGATCATTTTAGATGAAGATAACAATTCGTTGGTATTGTGTTCCATTTATTTATTTATTTTCTTTTTCTTATAAGAATTTAGACTTTAAAAATATATTTAATATTGAGCGGGAGGGGGGAGGGAAAGTTTCTTCGTATATCGTAGATTATATAATTTAAAATAAAAAAGTTTTTAAATTTATTTATTCGATTAAAAATGATTGCGTCGTTTACTCGTACTTAATTAATTTCCAAACATATTTTTTTCTAAAACAAATCTCTATATGAAATAACATTATTCTATATTTACGATTTAGTTTATTTTATTTAGAATCACTCCTGCTCGCTTGTACAATCAGTTACAGGTCACCGTGTATACTATAGTTAATAGAAAAAAAGAAAAAGAAAACGAATAAGTTAGTTTAAATTATAATATACTAAAAATCGCATAACAATGATTTTGTCACTAAAACAATTTTAGATTTATGTTTTTTTTTAAAAGATAAAATATCTAAATAATGTATATAATATAAAGATAAAAAAGAACGATTGATCATATTACAAAACTATATATATATTTCAAATAATACAATATTACAATATTAATGAAAATTAATGTCTCAATATAAATATTGTTAAATTCTGTAAGTAGAGGGAAAGAAAAATTACAAAAGCAATTCTCGACAATCGTCGTTCTTTTTCTTCTGGCAACTGTTGGTTACGCCCAAGTGACATGTAATATTAGTTTTTTTTTTCTAATAGTTGATAAAGACAGCTTTCGTCTTAACAACCTTCATTAAGAAAATTGACTCTGCATTACGACGATTGCAGAAAACCTACGCTACCGATTCAATATTTTCCAACCTAGCCTTTGTTATACATCGAAGAAGATATTTTCCAGGAACTCACTTCTTGGGAAAGCTCATTTCGCGAAGAGTAATCGGGTAGAATAACTAATTTATTTCTGGGCAAATTGAAAAAGAAAAAAAGAAAGAAAGAAAGAAAGAAAAAAAATGTGCTAGATGTTGTGTTAATTAGTTGACTCGATTCAAATTATGATTTTCTTAGAAAAATAATTTTTTGTATCCTTTATTCTTAATAAATATATTTAATTTTTTAGATGTACGAATGTTATGCAATACAAAAAAATGTTGTTCAACAAATTGATGAGAA